TATATATATATATATATAAGGTAGTATGCATCTAAATCCCTAAATACATGTTTCTACAGCAGACAAATGGAAGCAATCAAATACACATTAACCCAACAATGTTCTATTACACATTTAGGGATAGTCAGAAATATCTCCATATTTTAAATCAAAACTGAAGGCTACAAGGAATAGACTGAAGACCAAGCACTTAGCATACTCAAATTAAAGAGGAAAAGAGGGACCTTTAGAGCATGGAAGGATGAAACAGGGGAGAACATCAAAAAATTGAACAAAGGAGGGATCTTAATGACACGATTTTGGAGAGTTCGCAACTGCGAATTTGACTAGGTTTGCCAGTGATGGTTTTTTCGGCAAACGACGGTGATGAAAATCAATACTTTAGAAAGCGAGAAAGGGACAAAGAGATGAAGACAATAATGGGTGGCACTGGCAGAAGAACCATCGTTGATTGTCTTCGGCCAAATTTCAACTTCCCTCATGGTCTCTCTCATAGTCATGTTCTTCAGAGGTGAAATTAGGTTTAGGGATTTTGAGAGACGAGAGTTATATTTTTGAGAGAGTGATTTTGCAGTTTTTCTTTATTTTTTTCATTCTTTTTAGGAGCCAAATTGATGTTGGCGCTTAGTACCGCTCGAGTTGGAGTAATAGCGACCAATTATTGATCATTTTCATCCATTAAAAATATAAATTCGAGCATTAGGGACTGAAAATAAGTCTTTTTCGTATAAGTATGCTTTTAGGGGCAAGATTCTTAACCTGTCGCTAAATGTTGGTGGCTAATAAGCCTTTTTCTTGTTGTGATCTCTTTGTCGTCGGCTGAAGCTAAATATTGCTTGATGGGCAGGGTTGTGCTGAGTTGACCTAGTTGGTCCGTTTGCCCAAAAATCTATCTATTTACCCTTCTCTATCGATTCCTCTGCACTCTGATAGCCAAGCAGCTATTCACATCACTCAAAACCCTGTGTTTCACGAACGAACAAAGCACATTGATCTTGATTGCCACTTTGTTCGTCAACAATTTCAGTCGGATTTGATTTTTCTCTCGTATGTTCCCACTCGCGCTCAACTAGCTGATATCTTTACAAAACCCCTCACTGGGCCTCTCCATCGTGACGTTCTTGGAACATTGGGTGTCCATTCTTCCCCCTCCAACTTGAGGGGGGTTGTTGACAGTGGTAATCTTTTACAAGAGGAGTCTGGTGGCTAGGGTTATTGTTTGATACACACGAGAGGATTTTAGGCTATAGTAAGGGAGTTTAGTGGACAAACCACATGCTTTGATAAAGGCAGCTCCACGTTTTAATCACAACCGTCCATTCTGTGTCTAGAAGCTTCCTGTTATTTATGCTTATTTTGCTTAGCTGTCACATTTAGTTAGCTAGGAATTGTTTTATATAAATACACGACATTGTACAGTGTTCCATAACAGAATTTTCCTTTATATCAAATATTCTCTCTCTAAGCTTTTTCAAAATCGCTAAACTGCCTTTCTATCAAGTAATGTTCCAATATTATAGCCTTTTATTAAAGCTTTCACAAATTTCTAGCACTGCTTTTCTGGCGGTGCATTCGCTATTGAATTGATGCTATAAGGTATCAGGATATTTTAAGATCAGAACGCACGGATATGTGCTACGCTTTTCAAAGCCGCATCTTGCTGGGACATCGATACAAATTTGATTTGCTATCATAAGTGGGACTAATTAATGCCCAAAAATCTTAAAGAACTGAATTTTCGCCTCGTTGGTGGTCCAACTAGGAAATGAAAAAAAAAAAAGAAAGAAGGAAGGAAGGAAGGAAGGATGCTGAGAACCAAGGCAAGTAGGCAACTGACATCGACTGCTTGAAAGGGAGACATTGGACAATAGAGGTAGCTAGTTCCGTTATATAGTAATTGTTTGTCACTGGATACTAATCGCAAAGGCTATTCTCTGTAATAAACATTTGAAATTTGCAGTTGTATGTCGAAATATTGTTTTTGATAGAATATATGAGTCCACCAAACTATATAGAGACCAGGTCCTATATAGGTTTCCACAGATAACGCTAATGTAACAGTAAGTAAATAGAACAGGGAACTTTTACGTGGAAAAATCCCTGCTCAAGGGGATAGAAAAAACCACGACCTACACTGGTAGGATTTCAACCTCACTATGAGCAAGCTTTAGATTACAACCTATGCAATCTAGGAATTAAATTCTTAGTCTCTCACTAACTTGTAATACACCTATTACAAGCCACTTTGCAACACACCTATTACAAAGACTTCAACTCATGACTAACTCTAGTCACGACACAAACACTGAAGGTTTATGGTTTTTGAGGGTTTCCTATTAAAGCTTCTAGATAAGCAAAGTAGGAATTACAATGAAGAACAATTTCAAAGTTATAACTAAATTAAGGACATACAATAGACTTGCTGTAGGAACTGGTCCGTAGTAGTGTTGTACTTTAATCTTGATGCACTTGAGAATTGAATACTTGACAGATGAATGGTAGGAGTGCTTGAATGAATTCTCAAGTGTTCAAGTGATGTTTTTTTGTAATGCTCTTTGTTAATATAACTTAGATGACATCACTTAAATGATGTAATCACTTGGTTGGTCAAATGGGAGTGATTGTTGTACTGTGCTGCACTATTTGCGTGTACAGTGCAGGCAGTCACTTTCCAGCTATAGACATTTGACTTTGTACTGCAGTCATGAAAACACAAGGGGATCAGGTCCCTGTGTTAATTCTTTTATCTTCTGAAGTCATAGCAACTCACATTTGCTCGAGTCAGATGATTGAGTTGTGTACCAAGTGTGTCAGGCCCTTATCTGGTTCTTTGACAATAAGTTTGTTAGATCATCAAAACATAAAGCTAAGGTACAGTAAACCTATCAATTTTCCCCTTTTTGATGATGACAAACTTAGAAATTGATAACCCATATGCAGAGCAAAATAAACCAGATGAAGTAACAGGAACTTCACAAGTTCCTCCTGACAACTTCACATGTTCCCCCTGACTTTATGCTTCCCCCTTAATTAGATCCCCTGTTCAATTATATTTGATGATGACAAACCCATATGCAGAGCCAAATAAACCAGATGAAGTAACAAGAACTTCACAAGTTCCCCCTGACTTTATGTTTCACCCTTAATCAGATCCCCTGTTTCAATTATATTCCCCTTTTTGGCATCATTAAAAATACACAAGCAAGCAATCATCATAAAGAAGTCTAGCCTAGCTAACTCATGCCACATACGTGCACACCACATGATAGAAAAGAGAAGCAGAGTAACATAAGCATTTATAGCAAAGGAGGGGAGTCTTCACTAATTTTAATAAAACATAAGCCTTTCCCATTACAACAAAGGAAGATTTGGACGGTTAACAGCGGGAGCAGTACAAGTGAATTCCATCCATACCACAAAAGAGAAAAACAAAAACAACTACCATAGAGCCATCAAAACAGAAAAGATAAACTGGAAATTGTTCACCGGTCACTGGTGGATTAGCCTAGGGGACACTAGAGGGAGAGGACTTAAAAGCTGCAGTAAGAGTGTTGAGAACGAGATCAATTCGACATTAGCCGACATTTGCTCTATGAGCAGTTTCTCCTTCAGGTTCTCAACCTGTTGCCTGGGATCAGCATTTCTTTGGTCAGACGAGCAACCTCTGTATTTGACCCCGGTGCCTCTTTAGCCTGACTTAGCTGATTCTCCAGAATGGCATTCCTTGCCTTCAATTTTCTAATCTCCTCAGTAGCACTGTTCTGGGCATTGATAAGCTGTGAGATCGTCGAAGTGCTTCCTACCCCTCCACCTTTTTCAACACATTCACATTCCTCCAAAGTAGTTTGAGAGAAGGTCTGCTTCTTGGTCCCCATCTTGGGCTGTCCCAAAGTCACATCAAAGAACTTGAAGACACGTGTGAGAAGAAATCCATAGGGAAGACCATGATTGCCATCTTTGAAGGCTACCACCTTTTGCATGTGCTCAATCATTATGGCAAAGCAGATTAACAGATTTAAAACCATCCAGGCTTCCATTAGATATAAATCGGACTTGGATGTGATAGATTTCCTCTCAGCACGAGGTAGCAGGACCTTGTTTACCAACTCAAACAGGAGCCGATACACAGGAAGCAAAGCTTTCTTATGCACCCGTTCCCCCCGCTGGACTGCTCCCTCCTTTGCTATTGCATGCCTAAAGTTTGAGCCATAGACATCCTTAACAGAAGAGATACCGTCAGCAGGGACCTTAAGTATGTCTCCAAGCAGAGCAGAATCCATAACAATGTCAACTCCATTGACCAGGGCACAGATATGGTCAGATTCAACAGTAAAGAGGTCTACATAGAAACTTTGGACCTCATCCTCATAGACCTTGGGCACATCCACTTTGAACAGATGTCCCCACTATTGAAATTCGAGCATGTCAACTAGTTGCCTCATACCAGCCATCTCAGATATTTCTGGGTCAAATGTGCGACCCCGCAGAACTTTCTAGTACCTCAACCTTTCTTTACCAGACACACTTTCACGTTTCACTTTTTTCACAGAACCGGGTTCCTTCACAGTTCCCAACTTTCTTTTTTACCAGACTTCACACTAGACTTACCCTTTCCACTTGATTCCACTAGAATATCATCGCCAGATAGTGACTCTTCAGCCACTACTTGTTTCAACTTGTCACTACTTTTCACTGACTTTGTACTTGGCACTCCAGCACCCTCCTCTGAAGCATTTTCAGCAGATTGCTTCTTTTTCTGAGATCTCTTTACTAAGGAACTTGGTTCCTCTGCAGCTTCCTCATCCACTTCCACTACAGGAATGTTCTTATCATACACAACCTCTCCATTTTTCACCAGCCTCTTTTTCTTCTTCTTGCTACTCCCTTTTCTCTTCTACAGGGCAGACTCAAGAGCTTTCTTTTTCTGCAACCTCGTAGTAGGTCGCTTAGGAGAGGGCTTAGGAGTGATTACTGGCCTCCTTTTGGCAATAAACGCATCTAGAGCAACATTATCCTGATTTTCTTCATCACTAGACCTCATAGCAGGAGGCAACACTTCCAAAGGCTCAACATCAAAATGAGGAGAAGGAGAAGGGTTGAAACTAACCTGGGAAGAAGAGCCCTGACCCGTTTCCTCAAGAGAGGATCGGTTCCTTCAAGAGGGGTCCAATAGTTTCTTCTGGTGCAGGTTGTTCAAAGAGCACCATTGTACCTTCTTCCACCAACGACTGAGTCTCTTCCCCGTGAGACTCAGGCATAGCGAAATTGACCTCATACACTATCCCTTCAGCAGATATGGCCAGCATGTTTTCTATGGCCTCTCTCTCTTGAGATTCCACAAAATCCTAGACGGGAGTATCTGTAGGCTGATCAGCATTAACCTCAGAAACCTTTTCTTCCTGTGGAGTACTCACTCTATTCTCCAACGTTGCTTCATTCTTTGAGAATCTCAGGTAACAGAGAAGAAGTACCATCAACTTTGGGGATTTTGGAGTTCTCAACACTTGGGGGGAGAATATTTTCTGAGGGAGTGATGAGAGTGATAGAGGTTCAATATGTCTAAGAAACCCTGGGCATCCTCGCCCTCTACACCACTGAAAGTAGGAGGCTGGAGTCTGCCAAACCTCTCCAATCTACGCTGCTCGTCCTCTGGCATAACTGGAGCTACGTAACCCTGAGCAGCTGCCACCGGTTGGGCTAGTGGTGCCTCCGGTGTCTGCAATCCCTAAACCACCTGATCGGGTGTGCGGGCGGTGTGAGTCTGAGAGCCTCCCCTTGCCTAAAAAGTGGCCGCGGCAGTAGAGACCGCGAACGCCTGAGCAAGACTCGTACATACTGTCAAGATCTGGGCCAACGTCTCCTGAAGACCCAGAATCACAATGGGCACAGCTGGTGCCTGAGCTGGTGCTGCTGGAGTGTCCACAACAGGGACCTGCTCCTGAACAGGGGCGGCTGGTGGATCTGCAGGTGCTGCCCCAGCTGCTGTGTGGGCTGCACCTCTGCCCCTACCACAACCTCGACCGCGTCCTCGGCCTCTAGTGACTCCAGCTGGTGGTACTGGTGGTCGTCCTTCCTGACCGGTTGCTCGTGTCCTCACCATCTGTGAGAGAATAGAACAATAGAAGTTTAGTGCTCGGATCAACAAATTCGCACGACAAGAATTTCA